TATAACTTAATCTAATCATCTGTTTATTATACAGCGTGTAGTCATGTTTATGTTGAAATGAGTGCACCGGTACAGTTAGTTACGTCTCACCTTGTATCGACTGCCCTCTTGTGGACCTAATGTGATAATCAAACATGATTTCTACACACGTTTGGCACTTTTTGACAGCAGAAACAAACATTTTTTATTTATATCTTTAAATCGAAACAAGGCTTTGTTTGTGCACAATTATCTGAACTGAATGGCAGAAGGTAAAAATAATGCACTCTATATCACCAAGGATTCATTCTGGATTCAGTCTACACATATACTGAACGACGTACCGTTTTATCAACTCATTTTACACAGTTCACTGGTTTACGGGAAATAGGACACCTTGTATATGGTTAAGTTATTTTAAGCACTCAAAGTGCTTTCTACAACATGCCTGAGTTAGCTGACTCAGGAATACGGTATGCTGTAGCTCAGCAAGTATGACCTGCTATATCTCCTTAGCTACAGCCACGCCATACATCACATTTAGTTGAGTTTAAAAAGTCTAAAAACGATCATGTTCAAAGCAATATGCCTCGTGCCTACCTGCATTTTTTTCAATGAATTCCTTGAGGGAGCCGTGAAGGGGTTTAAAGATCAGCTCCCACTGGCTCCACTCACTTAAATCCTCCAGCAGAGGGCAGGAGAGCAAGCTGGCCAGGGCCTGGTCCTTGGACATTTCACCAAGCCGACCCACTGACTCAAATCCACCTTCAGCACTGTTCATGGATGTGAAAGACAGAAGGATAAAGGCAACTGACATGAAAACTGGACCTGTGAAATGATGGGGAGTTTATCTTTAAGTCATTCATCCTCCCATAAGGTTTTCTCATTTTAAAGGGGACCTAGCATGCTCACGTCCAGCTCTACATATTTATTGTTGGACTCTAAATGTCCAGGCAGAGCGGCTTTGTTTGATTCAGAGTTCATAGCAATCCTTATTTATCTTAATACTAAGCCTTGGTACAGTATGTCTGAATCAAGCCGTTTCACCAAGTCTCCATTTAAGGCTGCCGTCCCTTTTAGCTAACCTCTTCTAATTAGCTTCTCCTCACAAACAGAAGGTTTGAACAGCAGGTGGGTGGAGCCTCTCACTGACACACCGTGCCAGAGGTAAAAAAACAAACAAAGCCTGAGTTTTTGCCTCAACCACTCTTACAGATATACAATAAACATAAGGAAAAGCATAACATTACAAATCCTTCCCATGTACTGAGGTGCATTTCTGTCTGTCTGGTGATAGGCTTCTAACCTTGATTTGCCTTGTTTAGCAAACAGGGCTGATTCATAGCAGACTGGGCTCAGTCCTCCTCCACCCAGTGCTTTTTGCCGTTGGACCAGGTCAGCCAGTCTGTGCAGAGGACCATGCCCCAAGTCACGACTGTCCCGGACCCCATAGTGAGACCTCAGTGCTGACTCAATGTAGGAGAGCTGAGGAAACACAGTTGCAGTGTAGTTTTAGAACATCTACTGTGAAAAAAGGGTGCTGTATCTGTGTCTGTTTTTATGACTCACTTCATCTGGATCAGTGGAGGCTACGTCGCCGCACTGTTTGATGAACTCAAACACATCTTGTTTGGAGGGTCTGAAGCCACTGCCGGCTCGCTCCATGCTGCTGCCCAGAATCAAGGTGGACCCCACTGTGTCCTGCAGCAGCTGCACACAACCAGATGAGACCTTATGACCGCAAATTCTTTTGCTTTGTTAATTTGGTCCCATACCTGCGATTTGCAGAGTTAAAGTAAATCAAAAATGAGAGAACTACCTGAATGTTGTTCACCAAAAACTCCAGGAAGCTGCCTTTCTCTAAAGACAGGAAGTCTTTCACGTGGAAGTGTTCAGACAGTTTTTTCTCCAAGGAAGCAATGTGTGCCAAAGTGATAGCTGAGTTCTGAGCAGCCAGTTTGTCCCTTAGATACTGCTTCACTTTGGCTGAGAAATAGAGAGCAGAAACGTGCATTTGCCATTTAAAAATATAACAGATTCATGTTTAGGATAGGATAAGCTAATATACGTGTAACATCTTGCGTTAGAAACCTTCGCTTGGGAGAGATTTGGTGGATTTGTCCTCTGGTTTAGTTTTTTCCGTGGGTTTGGAGGTCTTGTCTTTGGGCACTAGGTCGTGTGGAACAGCCAGGGATCCCCCACAGATGGCCAGCTGAAACAGAGCTGTTTCCAGCCGATTACCTGACACCTGCAGCAGGAAGTTCTGGACGTGCTGGAGCAGAAAACAAATAGAGCTTTGTGTCAGAGACATGGGACTCATTTATATGATCGCTGAGCGCTTCTGTTGCTTCTCTCTCTGCTCAGAGCAAACACAGACTTCAATCTCGTGTGTGCCATTACTGTGTGTGGAGGCTGTTTATTAGATCGAAGAACTGACTCTGAAAAAAACAAACAAACTAGAAAATCTTTTCCAAAAGTCTCGTTTTTCTGATAAATGTGGACGGTGTGAAATCTGAAACCTGCTTTGCTATTACCTGCCAATTTGGACTAACACATTTCCAGCACAGTCTTGTCTTTGTTTTTGTTTTTCACTTGTCTGTTCTGGGGCAGAATGTGAGGTCTCGCTTGGTTTACAGCAAATATAATAGAAACACAGGCTTAGTTTGGGCACAGATGCTCAATGTAAGAATTAGTGTGTGTTTATTTTGAGTAACAATCCCACAACTCGGTGTTTTTTCCATTCGTCTTTTCATATACAAGAGGTGAAAACCACCTTTTCCATGGAGTATGTGTCACTGATAATTCCTGTAAAATGATCCACAGTAGGTTGGTTTCTCTGATGAAAACCGGCAAAAGCTGTTTTACATGCAACCAAATTCTTTAGGAGGCGTGTGTCACCATTCAGATTGGGCCACATTTGTATAGGCTTTACATTTGTAAAGCCACAGCACATAATTACTACATATAGACAGCACTGCAGGCCAGTAGGCCAGTCTTTTACAGGCCTCATGTATTATCTTACTGGTGTGCAGAAAAAACAAAACATCTACTAGTATTTTAAGTACTTTAGATGCCATCTTAATTTATAATCAAATAGCATATCTTATATGAATAATCCAAATCTGTAAATTAAATAGAAACTAAATTTTTAAAATAACAAAATAATAGATCACTAATAGAAAGAGAGGGAAATAGATGCTCTCAGCAGGCAGCAAAGTGCACCTTCATATGTCATGTTGTGTTTTTGAGTTTATGGACTTTTGTTTTGTTGGTGTAACTTTTTTTGGGCATTTATTCAACAGTAGAGCAGTTAAGAGAGACAGAGAAATGGGGAAAAGACACACAGCAAAGGGCCCCGGGTCAGAAGCAGGACACACCCCGGACAGGTCGCCAGCCTGTTGCAGGTCTTCTTCATGTATTTAGTCTCTAGTTCCTGGTTGTACTTGGGTTTAGTTCTACTCTTAGTGATTGTTTTTTCTTCCTCGTGCGTCACTTCCCCTCTATTGTTCATTTGTGCATCTGTGTTTCCCTGTTCAGTTATCGCTGCTCACTTCCTGTTTGATTTTGATAGATATTTGCTCCCTGTGCCTTGCTTTTAGTTTTATCTTCCAGTCTCTTGTATGTATGGACAGAGCTGGGATGTATCGTATAGACATACTAGAGACAGCTTTCATTTCTATTTGTTCGTAATACAAAACAGTGTTGGCCGCTTACTTTTCTTCATGTTTGAGCTTGTTGAACAGGAGTTTTTGTCATCACTTAATATTATAATGACTATATGAAGAAAACAAAACAAAACTACTGTCTAGTGAGCGTTCACCTGAGCCAGTTGGATTCACAGGTCACATATAAAATTAAACATATAAACCACTTCTTATTAGTTATGTGCCGTCAGTCACGTAACTCAAGTTACAGCCCTGCTATAACTCATTCACACCTAAATGCTTTAGTCTGGCTATTAAAGTTGTAACCAACTAACACGCTCTCACTCAAACTTTGATGGATGCTTTAGCGTCATTTTGTGACCTTCTTACTGGCGAATGACCCACTCCACCCAAAGTAGGCCCAAATTTCCACACTGAAATGACAGAAGTCCAGATTCAGTAACACAAGACATTTGTCAGTGTGTGACACCCACCTTGGCCATCCTGGGGCTGAACACCTCCCCTGCATTTGTAAAGACCGCCAGCACGACCTCGGCCGCTGTCATTGAGGCATACTTCTTCGAGAGATCCGAGCTGCCCGCAGAGGAGAAGGAAGCTGCTCCTTTCAGCGGCTCCAAGATGATCTTTTTGAGCTTCCTCAGCCGCTCGTATATCTCCTCCTCCAGCTCTTTCTGAATCACCTCCCTGGCGCTCTCCAAGATGGTGTGCTCGTTACGGCTTACCTTCGAGATTGTCTAGAGTAGACAAATGTGTTTGTGTTTAATATGAGAATAATGGCAAAGTATAGCAGGTTAATCTTTACCAAAAATACAAGTGAAGTCGTTTTTTTTCTTTGTTATAAGTTCACCCAATGAGAGTTCCACACATCTCACTGTTTGTCATAGTTAATACTTAACAACACATGGACAGTTGGGTTCACAGAGAAGAAATCACAGCATTATTCATTAAATTTAGCAGTTACTTGAAACTACCTTCAGCAAAAGAAATAATCAGTGTGGTCCCAAGCGGACACAGACCACAGCCGGAAGCAGAATAAAACAATAATTCATGCTGGCACTTTAACTCGATCCCAAACCTCCTTGTGTGTTTGCCTAGAAGGTTCATCTGGGAGGTGTGTGTGGGGTATGGCTGTGGATGCACATGCAGCTTGTGTAACCATAATATGTCCCAGCAAATATGTCCCAAACCTCTGCTGATCAGAACTCATCAGTAAACCGTCCTGAGATGTAGCAGAACATTGTGCTTCTTACCGATATGGGCAGGCCAAGACCAGTTATCCTGATGCCCAGCTCATAGGGAGAGTCACAGTTATAGTGGTCGGCCAGATGCTTCATAAACTCAGCCAGGTCCACTTTTACCTTCGTCTGCTTCCTCCTAAAAACACGAAGTTGCTAAACAAAAGAATGGAAACGACATATATTTATGACATATACTGTAACTGTAAAACATAATTTAACAACAACAACAAAATAAGCTCTTATAAACATTAAAGTGCAAAACAAAACTGAATCCCTGTGAATGCACCTTTAAGATGTCTACAGTCTCGATCTGGTGGATATCGTCATCTTTCGTGTTGCTGCCAATCTTGAATATGCGGTGAATGAAGGGGAGCTTGCAAAGGGGGCCGAGGTTTAGCTCTTCGTAGCGCTTCTTGTCCTTGAGGCCAGCTAATGACTGGCCCAGCTCATACAGGGTACAGATGGATGTCACTGCTGAGGTGGTCTGGGAGAAAGAGGACCAAATAAAATTCAGTTTGGCAACCTGACAGTGAGAAAACAGGTGAAAACGAATGCGTGCCAACCTCTATGAACATGTTGATCTCTCTAATGAGGTACTGGAGATCTTTTAGAGCTTTAAGAGGCAAGTGCTCTACCCATCTTGGATCCAGGGAAGGCACCAGCCTGCATACCCGGGATATCACCTGGAAGCAGGAATGAAAGGCAGTGAGAGGACAACGACAAAATCAAACGCAGCGAGTTAGTCCAAATGTAACAGAGTGAAACACGACTCATTGTGGGAAGCACAATGATAGCGCACCCGTAGTGATGGTGCCAAACCCAGATAAATGGGAAGGGCCAAATCAAATATCCTCTTGGAAACTTGACAGCAGATGAGAAACAAAGATGCAGCTGAAAAACAGCTGGTGATAAACTAAAGGAAAAACAAGACGGAAGAAAACTGCGAGCGAGAAAACTGGCGTAAATAAATATGTGTGTATATCAGGAAGACCAAAGATATTGATGGTAACCTGTGAGAATAATTTAATGTTGCATAGCAGACTAAATGATTAGGAAAATGATCTAATAGCATATTATGCACAGCTACACAGTAGAAAAAATAAGTATAGTTCGTCCTCACCTTCTTTGTGGTGACCAGCTCTCCATCCCCAGCGATTTCTCGTATGACACTCTCCATCAGAGTGTTGATCGTATCCTGATCCATGTCCCTGTTTCTCCACCTCCCATTGAAGTCCTCCTGGTCTGCTTCCATGGCCTCCACAGCTCGCATATTTTCTCCAAGGAGCTCCCTCTGCTGTGCATGATAACCTTTATTAAAGACAGGGCCGCTGCCTTCTCTCGGGCTGGCATCTCTCACTTTGGTCTTCTGCTCTTTGGTCAAACTCAAATCTGCCCCCAGCACTGGAAAATCAGAGGCAGACAGGAAGCTAAACCCACTGGCCTGTTCCTGTTCTTTTTCAGGTTTAGGACTCTGTGTTGCTGTGGGAGGATAATACAAACTATTTAATGAATATGGACTATTGAGAATCTTTATTATGCTTGAAATTGAATGTTTTGATGTTTGGCTACCTGCAGCGGTCTGCCATACCCCAGTCTTAGGATCAGTTGTTGGCTGAAACTGAGTGGGGAGCTTCTTGGCTTCCCAGTTGTCGTACAGCGACATGTACTGGGCAAGAGGAAACTTTTTACCAAACTTCTGAGAATAGCAGGTTTGAAGCTGTTCCATTGATGGAGCAGTTAGCTGGTACGCCCCCATCACCTGAAACACATCAATAAACTTTTACACACCAACTGGTTTCCATAGGCAAATACCTGGTATAACACAGTGTACTGCAGAAGCCAAAGGTCAGTTTTAAGAGTACATTGGTAGAAGATGAGTTCATTAAGATACAAGCTTGTAATGCATAAATGAAGAACTCTATTAAGAACTTCCACAAATCTCTCTGTGTCTGGCAGTTTTTCATATTTCAACTGTTTTAATGTAAGACAATCTCACAATGCATTGAAGTGAGCAAAGCACGCTTTATGTTTTCACATTCTTAGGTGAGAAAATTACTTACAGATGGCTTCAACCGAATTAAGTAGTGAGAGGGAAAACGAGCTGTCTCTAACTGCATCCTTCTATTTAGTTTACAAGCACGGGTGTGTTCCCACTATCAAATATAACTACATTAATGGGTTTATGGAACTGGATAATGTACTTAAAGCAGTAAAACTGCTGATTG